GAAGGACATCTGTCACCTATGATATGGGGGACACTGCACCAAGTAAAACAAGCCAAGTGCAGGAAGACTGAAGTCAGGGGCCTCAGGGTAAAGAAACCACAGCATGATGGCACTTCTGTGTGGACCTAAAAGCCATGCACACAGGCACAGAGCAGTGCAGGAAGGAGGGAGTGCAGAGGTGCAGCTGGAGGAGAGGCAGGTTCCAGTGCAGGGAAGCTGTGACGATGATGACAATGATAATGATGATGATGATGATGATGTAGGTGCTCCTGAATGCCAAGAGCGGGGCTCTTTATATGTGTGCACTGTGCAATATCACACTGGGAGCACACCCTGGAGCAACAAAGTCAAGCTGGTTAGCACCCCCGTCACCCCTCATGCTAGCTGTCTGTGGTGAGGTCACTCAGAATCAAAACAGACCTCAAACCAGGAAACACCGAAGACAGCTCTATCAGGCGGTGGCTGTGCTAACTAGCCAGACTGGTAGTCACTGTACACCGCATCCACGTATGAAAACACATTTAYACCACAGATCTACACATATTTTGGCAACTATTCCTCAATAATGAATAAAGAACACATTTAAATTTTTTAAAACAAATTGAACATTATTATCTCATCATAATAATAATGAGAACATTATTATCTCATTCCAACTTAAACAAGGTAAGGGACTTGCCATTAGAACTTGGGATACGGACAGCAACTGTGCCCCTCAGAGCGTAGGCCCCTCAGCTGGAGATGGCCTGTGCACGCACACAGAGGCAGACACAGCTCCACCTGAGCCACTGAGTGTCCATGTCCTGGTCGGAGGGCAGCCGTGCTGCCATCACCAAGGCTGTCTCCACCTGGCACCTCATCTCCCAGGTTTGGGACGCCAGCTCATGACCTTTGGGGGAGAGGCCTGTCCTGTTCTAAGACCTAACGGAATTTCACCTAAGCAATTTGATGGACATGGAAAAAAATTTTTTCTTTTCTGTTTTGTTCTTTTTCTGGGAGGTGGGGACAGTTCCAGGAACCAAACCTAGAGCCTTTGCTTGCTAGACAAGCCCCCTATCACTAAGCCACACCCCAGCCCCAAAGGAATATCCCTTAATCAAAATTCAACACACATGCAGGCACACGTATACTATTTCATAAGTCATCCTAACTCGTACCCTTTCTATTTTTTAGTGGCTATTCAGGACCTCTAGTAAATTGGTTCCTAAGCTGGCCGTGGTGTAAAATTCACTACGACTGGATGAACACTGCCCTGAGGGGCCCAGTACAATCACTGCAAGAAAAGCTGTGACTAGTCATCCTTGGTGGCTGCTAYAGTACCACCCTGGAAGGCCACAACGGTCTGAAAGGTAGGCCTTTCTCYGACAGACACACACCCAGCCCTGGGGATTATCCATGGCTCGGTCCTCTGCACCTCCATCCTGCGTGGGAGGCAGGAGGCTACAGGTGCACCTGTTCCTTGCATTAAGTTTGAGAGGGAACGGAAGGCAGAGGAGGGTTAGCTATCTCCAGTGGTCCTGAACTTACTCAACTGAGATTTACATCATCAAAATAGAGCTGGAGCCAGAGAAATTATTTTTTTAAACTAGATCTTGATTTACAACTCCAGATCAAGTGAATATCAGAAAGGATGGGGTGTAGGAAGACTCACCGTGACCTACTGAGCCTACTCTGTGGGCAAGGCGACAGAATCAGTGGCTGTGGTTCATTTTTGTCTTTCCCTTTTTATTGGTTCTTTTTAGTTATATATAATGTTGGAATTCATCTTGACATAATTACAAAGGCATGGAATATAACTTGGTCTGATTCAGTTCTCAGTACTTCCCCTTCCCCCCACCTTCCTTCTACTGATCTTTCTGCTATTTACTAATAGTTGTTTTGTCTGTTTGTCTATTTGTTGTTTCTGGGTCTCGGGGACCTGCATGAGGGTGAGTCTCACRGTGGTACACCCACACGTACACAGGAAAGTCAGGTGAGACTACTCCTTTTGCTGTTCTTCCCTCATCCCATCCCTTCTCCCTCTCCCTAAATCTCCTTCATCTAGTTCACTGATGTTTCTATTTTAATAGAATTCCCTACCCCACCCCTTTCCCCTTTGTCTCTTGCTCTGTTTCTGTCTCTCTCATTCCTTACTTTGGACTAATTTCCACATTGCAGAGAAAATATGCAACCTTTGATGTTTGGGGTCTAACTTATCTCACTTAACATGATAGTCTCTAGTCCATCCATTTACCAGCAAATGCCATAATTTCATTCTTCTTCATGGTGCTAAATTTTTAAATAAAAATCATTCCTTTGAAACTTCACTATATAATGAATGATAATGTTCTTTTTTCAAGTAAATCTAAATGATAGAAGATAAGAAYTGGCCCAAAATAAGACAAGTATAATGAAAATGCACAGCAAACCAAATACATACCCAGCAAACCAAAAGAACATTTAATTTATTTATAATAACAAACCTTGGGCCTGGGACATAATGAAGAGCTGATGGACTCTTAATGGTTTTTCTCCTGAGTTCCTTGGCACATCCTTATTCTGAAGTCTCCTAACTAGCCATGAATGTATAATGGTAGAATAAAAGCTTGATTCCTTTCTCACATGATTCTTGGAGAACTAGTTCAGATATTTTCACATAACCATACCAAACACACAGCGGATCAGCACATCGTCAGGAACACATATGTCAAGGGCAGAGGATTGAATRTGCTTCCATGCAGGAAGGTCAGCCACCATGCCTCTGCCTTTCCAAGGCATCACCAGTACTTTCACTTGATTTATGACTGAGGGCATGAGAGAYGGCGCAAAGATCCTATGCCGAATTCCCACATGGCACATAACACAGCCAAACTGTGAAAATCTCATAAACGTGGGTGGATCAGTTTCATCGAGAAAGGAGCTGGAAGTTCCAGAGAGTGAGCAGGAAACCGGCCAGAGAGTTTTTTACAGCCATGCAATTCCAGAGCAGTGGCAATGCACACAGCTCTCCCTGCACACATAACACCTGGGTTAGACACATGGGCAGAATGCAGGGACAGGCAGAGACAAGGAATACTATCAACAGTCCGGCTGAGTCTCCAGTAAACTGAAACTGCTGTCATAATTTTTAAAATGATTTCAAAGGAGGTCAAGTCATGTCTTTGGAAAGTCCCTCATAAATATACTGAGGTCACTATAATCCCCATAGAATATCGAAGGTGAAAAAATAAGTAATGAGCTGTTTTAAAGGGACGGTATGAGGTTACATAATAGCAAACATTCGTCACATCACAAGTATGTTTTCACATGGATTTTTAGGACCTTGAGTATCTTTGGACACATTTCCTGAATTCGACTCAAACACTATTTATCATCCTCAAAAAACAGATAAAACAAATGTGTTCTGCAACAAGAATTGGAGCAAAGGTCAAGGGTAAGATGGGAAATCAGCAGAACCAGCTAGGAGACCATGATGTGAGGAGGGAGAGGGAAGCCAGCCTGCAGCTGCTCCAGGGGGCTGCACAGAACCCTGAGCAGCAGCAGGGCATGCACTACAAACAGTGAGCATGGGAACCCCACTTGTCACTGGGAGTCATGACAAGGCTGTACTTGGGTGATTTCCCTGGAGTGAGAAGAAATAAAACTAAGAAGCTGACTAAATGGCATGAAGGGGCTGGGGTGGAAACCAACTATCAAGATGCTAGAATAGCAAGGGCAGGCATGGGCTAGGGTGCAGCTCAGTGGTAAGCACTTGCCCAGCACCTGCACTACCCTGGGGTTCATCACCAGCCCCAAAAGATATATGTAAGCAAACTGACAAGAAAGGGGCATTCATGAGGGTAGTGAGAGGGTGCAGAAGGCAGGGTCTTCATGATTTGGCCCTAATTCTGTAAAGACTCAAGACTAAAGAAAGAGACTTGGGTAATCATGTACTTCTGTCATTAACAGAAAAAGAAACTGCAGAAGAGCAGTTATCTGGAGCAAAGAGAATGAAAAATCCACTCTGGAGCACGCTGTCACATTGTCAAAAGCATGCCCAGCTATGAACCTAGCAAGCAACTAAAATATGGGTCTGAAGCTTGCGTACTATAGAAAGTGAATCACCTGGAATTCTTTAGTACAGCTTTGATGGCAACATTATGGGTACAGTCAAAATCTTAGGGGGAGAGAGCACAGAAGATGTCCAGGGCACCCAGGCCATTCTCCYGGGCCAAGGGAGACTGAGAGCATGGAAATGTGCCCAAAGGCCCTATGTCAGAGACTTTGTCCCCGGCGTGGTCCCCAACCTTGATGATACTGGGAGGTGTCAGAACCCTCAGGAGATGGGGTCTGGTGGGGGAAGTGAAGCACTGGGATGTGCCCTTGAAGGGGACACTGGGACCCTAGCCCCTTCCCCCGAACCCAGCCATCTCCCTGCTGCCCAGCCACCATGAGGCCAGCAGCTCTGTTCCAGCACGCCCCAAGGAGGTTCTGCCTCCCCACAGGCTTCAGAGCAAAGGAACCAACCTAGAAGGAAGCCGCAGACACCACGCTCTAAAACAAATCTTTCCTCCTCATAAGTGGCTTATATCTCAAGTATTTTGTCACAGTGACAGAAAGCTGACAAACAGAGACCAAAGAAGTCAGAGAAATTGCAAAAGACCTAGCAAAATATACCATAAAGACACCAAAAATATACTTATATTCCAAAAGGCAACATAAGTAGAGATAAGTCTTTTTAAAAAGGAGGAAGAGAAGGAGGTCTTGGCACTCAGCACCACCCCACAGCTGTCAAAATTAATTTAACAGCCGAGAGTTAGTTTATTGATTTAATAGCTCAGTAATGCTTGCTCATCAGACAGCTTCTGTAGAGAAGGGAAGCCGGAAACCCCGCAGAGCCAATTGGTCTGAGGAGCCACAGGAGAGTAGAAGCAAGATGTTCTCCAGGCTCCACCACACTCCAAACGCCCCAGATGCCTAGGGATAAGCAACTGAAAATCATTATCAGCAAATAAGTGAAAAAAATCTGAATATGCTTTTACCTTCTTGTGATTCTTGTAGACATTCCTGTGAGCGAACCCCTTTCCACAAAGCTTGCACTTGTAGGGCTTGTCTTCACTGTGAATGACTTTGTGGGCGCCCACTTGATCAAGCCTCTTGAAAGACTTGTTACAAATCTCACAATGATAGGGCCGTCTTTCTGTGAAAAATGAGTGGAGAAGGCTCATGTCTATACAAAGTAAAGGGTCTGAGGGACACGTTCTACCCTCAAACCACAGGAGCATAAGTAATTTAAAACGTGGTTACACTAAAGGAAGCTGCCACCCTATCCATCATGACAGGTACCGGAGTCTGTCTGCAAGTGGAAGGTGAGCTTGCTCTTCTGCAGGCCTGTTTTGAAAACTAAAGCTTCCATGTGAAGAAGTTTAAGTTCAAAGGCGAAATCCAGATGAAAAATGGGCTGAGATGTGTGAGTTTAAATCAGACCCTAAGGCAGGGAGGAGACAGCGGGGGTTAGGAAAGAGCCTCTGCTGGGCCATGGGCACCCTGCAGCAGAGCTTCCACTTCCCAGCACTCAGACGGAGAACAGTCCACCTTTACCCCAGGTAACCTGAAAGACTTGTTACAAATGATGCCCATAACTAACTTAAAAAATACCATGTCAATCAAAGCACACCTGAAGGCCACCAGTTTTTAATCTGACTTTAATTTGCTAAAACACCTACATCTACCTCCAAAAAGGGTGGACATTAGAAAATATCCTGACTTCATATGGCCTTAAATTGGGCATCTTGACTTCTAGAAGAGACTTCACTGAGGAAAAAATGTTTCCAGAGTTGACTTTTTTAAGTCTGCATAAGTGCAGCTCCTGCTGCTGAAACTGGCTTCAGAAAGATACTCCAAAGCATATTTATAAATCCCTCTTGACACTGACTTATTAGGGTTGCATTTAGAATGTAAGGTGTCCATTAATGTAGACTCTGAGACTGCAGAGCCTCCCAAGTGTGAGACACTGCCAGCAGCATAACAGGGACCTCACCTAGCCTGTGCAGGCACCAGGATTCCGCTGCACAGATGAAGAATAGAGAAACTGAGATCCAGGAGGTGCAGGTGAGGAACTGAAAGGGAACGGTGAAGACTTGTATGTCCTTCAGTCCAACCACCTTTGCTTTATAAACAGAGTTCAAGAGCATTCAGTAACTTGCTCAAAGTCACATGACTAGTCAAAGCCAAGCCAGAACTCAGAGCAGGACCATGACTCTGAGTCCTGGGAATGACAGGATCTTCTTCAGGATCTCAACAAATGAAGAAGCAGCATTACCTGAGTGGGTGATGAGATGGCGCTTCAGCTGATTGGCTGAGACAAACTTCTTCATGCATTCTTGACAATCAAAAATCTCATGGACCTGCAAGAGGTTAGTGAACAGTTAATCAGCTGTTGAAGCCTAACAAATCACATGAAACCCAAGAAAAAGCACAAACATAGGGGCAGCTGCTACTGCCATGTCCAAATGACCCAGTAAAATTCAGCCCTGATTTGCTCATACTGCCCTGAATAAATTAAAATGCAATGAATGCATTCCTAGTAAAAACACATCATCCAAAGGAAACAGACTAAAGCTGCTTAAATATGCAATGACTGACCTACTTAGTTCATGTCAAATGTATATGCTCTATAAAAAGTACAGCTAATACATTAATTSCTTTGTTGTGCACAAATTTAGACTTAGACATCTGTAAACTGCAGGTAATACTGTTCCTTTTCTAGTAACCAAGTATATTTTAAACTTAAATGTATGTAGCACAGAGCAAAGTATTAATTACAGCAGAAGACCAGAAGAGAGATGATTCTGAAGGCATTTAGYTCTCAGTGCAAGTGTCCAACGACAAGAGAACTCCAGCCAAAAGAAAACGGGAGATGCAGGTCCAGGGAGCCAAAGCCAAGCAAACRGAGGATGAAGCATCTAAAGGTCTGACCTAAGACCTGAGGACTATAGCAGTGATTGCATAATGCACTCAAGGTCTATTGTAACCCAAGTAGGTCATGCTGCCCTTGCACTGGAATGGGGGTGGGTGACTGTGAGATAGTGATATGTTAATTTGTTTCACTATTACAACTATTTTACTACATGTGTATGGGTTTGTATCCCATAATATCATAACTTAAATAAGATGTATATTTWAAAAAAATCCTAATAACAGGGATATAACTTTAGCTAATAATTACTTAATATAAATGTTACAGTTGAAATATTACATTGGTTCTTTCCCTCCCAGACTCCAGATCAGGGAAATGGGTCAGTGGCATAAAAAGTGGAAGTCCAGTTTATTACCAGAACCAGGATTCTAGGTCCTAAAGCAAAGCCCCGCACAAAGCCTTGGATGGGAAATGCTGATCATCAATGAACAAGAGCACCAGTAACTCGGCTGAAGACTCAGAACTGGTTTGGTGGAGTCATGTTTTCATGGCCCACCTCATCAAAGGCACAGTCGGAACATGACCCAGATAGACAAAGCATGCAGCCTGATGCAGAACAGCTGGAGACACACCCGAGGACCAAGACCCTGGACSAGTGTAGCACCACAGTGATGTGGGGGGATGGGCTGTCCCCTGCCACATTTGCCTAATCTAAGTGACTAGGACAGGACTCAAAGCAGAGAGGGGGAAAGGGGAAGACACAAGGATGAGGCCCACAGATGGGAGCCTACAGCCCAGGCCCRCCATCACTGCCAGGCATGAGGCAAGTCCAAGGCAGCAACCCTTGCTGCTTCTGTCTAGCCTGACTCTTGGGGATCTGGAAACTTCACCTGAGAAAAGCCAAGCAAAGTAGAGAAACAGCAGCAGCAAAAGCCACCCTTGTGGGAGGGCCTGACATGTGCTCTTTAGAGATGTACAGGAGCTATGGGGTCTGCAGGATTCCTGTACAAAGGCCATCCTTCAGAGAAGCGTGGCCCCCACCTAATCAGGGTCCTTTCCAGAGCCCAGTGCTCAAGAGCAAGATACAAGTGTCACAGAACTCAGAAGAAATGTGTCTGTTCAATGCGTGCCAAAGGCTGCCCCTTATATAATTTTGAAATGACCAATATGATAAGCCTCTGAGCCATACATAAATTAAAACTTTATTTCTTTTCAATCCAGTCAGATATGGTGGTACACACCTGTAATCCCTGCCCCTTGGGAGACTGAGGCAAGAGGATCGCAAGTTCAAGGCCAGCATGTAGCAAGAACGGTCTCAAAATAAAAAGGGCTGGAGATGCAGCTCAGTGGTAGAGCATACCTGGGTTCAATCCTCAGTACAACAACAACAACAACAAAAAAATCACTAGTCCACAAAGAAAAACAAACAATTAGACGAAACACTGTTGGATACTCATGTGTTCACTTCTTAATGCTCACAGCTTCAGAAATAGGAAAATCTTTTCAAGGTTGAATTAAAAGGATAGTCCCAAAATTACAAAAAGTGATCATGTACTGTACAAGAGAGCATGCCAAAGCTATTTCCAAATACCCAAGGCTGCTCAACAAACAGATTTAAAGTCAAATGATAGGTGACACTATTAGGATAAGAAATAACCCTCAATTAAGACTTTTTTTTAATATTTATTTATTTTTTCTTAGTTCTCGGCGGACACAACATCTTTGTTGGTATGTGGTGCTGAGGATCGAACCCGGGCTGCACGCATGCTAGGCGAGCGCGCTACCGCTTGAGCCACATCCCCAGCCCATCAATTAAGACTTTGACCCAGATGTAAAGGTCACTCCAAGAAAATAATCAAAAACATTCCAAACATTCTAGCCAAGYGTTTGTCCTGGAGCAGCAGGAAAAATGCAAGTGGTGGTGGACYTGAATGGAGATTACAGGAAAATTCAAACTCAAGGGCTAAAGAATCACAAGGTCATCAGCCAAACCAACATTGCTGGTACTTTTCCAAGACCTGGTTAGCCTGAATATTGATCAGTGCCCCTACCAGTAGCTATATATGCCCCTAAACTGTATATTCAGGCAGCAACCCCTATTGGGACACCCCTCTTACTCCTATAGAAGCACTGTCTCTTTTCTTCTCATGTTACTCTTGCCTTCTGTTATTTTCTGTGGATTTCATTCTTGGAATGTGCTAGACAAGTACCTGGAAAGTGACTGGTGAGCTGCTGGGGTCTGCTAAGACCCTGGAGAGCACAATCCCCATTAACAGCTKCAACAATCACTCAATAATAGTAGAGAAGAACCTGGTTTTGCCAGTTGTGACCTGAGAGCTGACACCAGCAGGCACCCCCTGCCTTGATTAGCTCCCAACACTAAAGAGAGTTTTCTGAGCTGCAGAGACCTTCAGCTTGCACAGATCCACCCACCAGCAGAAGCAGAGAATCTAGTCTCATCTCAAAYTGCAGTTTCAATACAATTTAATTACACCCAAAGCTATGCAGAAATATTTTGAAAATTATTAATTGGGAGAATAATATGTTACCATTTTTAAGTTCTAATAATTGTCAAGAGGGACCACAACATTCCTTGCTTTAATATAAGAKAGTGTCTATTGTCATAAAGCACCATCTACTGGCAGGGTGGTGCCGGGTAGCTAAACTCTATTAGACATTAGACATACCCAACCAAAGATGGCCAAAACTGTYAGCAATACAAGCTGCCTAGTATTCAGGAAGGTGAAACTTGAGCAGCAAGGCTATTAGGGAGGAAGGGCTGTGTTAAGTCAATAAGGACTAGGCTCCATAAGGGCTCACCTCAAAGACAGGAGCTACAGCCCCTCTACCAAGATGCTCCTCTAGGGGAGAGGCTCTTATGTTGAGAAGGAAATAAATGGATAACAGGACACTGTTCAGAACTATTCTCCACAGTGAACTGTGCTAAAATGCTCTATTTGGTAAACTATTCTAAATTTCAACCTCTTTAAACAAATCAGGKAAATAAACCATAAAATAATAAAAGTAAGATGATATTTAGAAAACATCTATTCCAGTAGCTTGATCTTTTTGACAGAATAGGTTTTTCTTCCTGAAGCCAGACAAGCGATGGGAGGGGAATGAGATACCTAAAAGAAGGGACATCTGCAATGGCACCCAGGCAAACTGTCCAAGGTAATTTCTGTACATGTACTAATACAAAGATCAATAAGACCCCTGCAGAGGAATGATATACATTCACAAGACACTTAAATTTTTAAAATAATCTAATTAAAATCACTATTTGGAAACTTTACCAAAAAAAGAATTTAATAGCACTAAGAGAACAAAACCAAAAACCCAACACTGATGTGTTCAACACTGAGGGCTAGTGACACACACAGCCCCCACCCTGATTCACAATCAGGCTGTTCCATCACTTCTCCATATGARGATCAAAACTGTTCCAGAAACCAGAACTGCAGACATGTCAACAAAATGATTTAACTGTCTCAAGTGCTAAATTAAGTCCACAAAAATGGTTGGAGCTACTAGATTAAAAATCACAATGAATTTCCAGTACCATCAAGTTATTTTGAAATACACCTATGTACACAGAGAGAGACAATCATATTACAAAACACAACAAAAGCAATTTTTCATCTTTGTTATAACAGAATGTAACATGTACATTTTGGACCCTAGCAATGACATTAATGAAAATATAAATTCAATTTTAACTCTCTTTTATTATACATTCTTTTAACTAGAGAATAATATTCTTTTTTAAAGAGAGAGAGAGAGAAAGAGAGATATTTTTTTCATATTTATTTTTTAGTTTTCGGTGGACACACATCTTTATTTTATTTTTATGTGGTGCTGAGGATCGAACCCAGTGCCCCGCACATGCCAGTCGAGCGCTCTACCGCTTGAGCCACATCCCCATCTCAAGGCTAATATTCTTAGGTAAGAATTACCATTTATTTTTCAGATTAATTTTTGCTACAAAATAATAAATTTTTATCCTTTTTGTAAAATGTTAAATTCATTTTATCCTAAGGAATCATTTTCGTCTGTTAATAACACCTARATATACAATCGTATCAATGCACAATTTACCACATCAACATGAAAAATAGAATGGAGTAAAATCAAACTCAATGGACCGTTACATGGCAATTCACATCATCACGAAATCACACAATGCAGCTCTCGCCTTTGTTGTGCCAGACTAAATTATGACATGCACTCATTTCAAAACCAAAGGTCACTTGCCAGCACATTCCAAAAATGCATAGTTTTCTCACTGACTTATATTTCCTGAGCAAACAGCAAYGGACAAGGCCATGAGCCAAGGCAGGTGTTTTAGGTAAAACCTCGGCCAGAAACGACACAGGGCGGAGGGACAGTGTGTTCACCAGCGCTGAGCAATGACAGCAGCTCAAAGCCTCAGCAGCTTGCCTTTCTGCACACTGGCTCTGTGCTCTAGAATACGGTACCACTTAGATTCATGACAAAGCTCTGTCCTGGGTCAGTCAGCCACAAGTTCACATGGCAGACACCACGAGCTGCTGACAGGTCTCTGAGAGTGGGTTCATCTCACTGACCTTCCTGTGCTCCTGCAGGCTGGAGGCAGAGGAACACTTTTTACTGCATACCGAACACACGAGCTTTTTCTTAGGATCTCCTAAAAGAGAAATGAAAACCCGTCATGAATTAAATGAGACAATAAGGGGCACCACAGGGAGTTTCAACAGGGTATGAAATTCCACCCCATAACTCAGGCGCCAGCATCCATTCAGATCGGAGGGAGAACCATCCATCAAACTCACATAAAGAGCGAGTGGTATCTGAGACCCTTTCTTTCAAATGTAAGAGATATGCCGCTTATATTCTGCCTTCTACGTGCATGGAACAGACCTCTTTCCCTTTCCCATGTCCTAACCAAGAATCGCACATCTCCATGAACCATCAAGCCAAAGCTGTAATGAGCCAAATCCGCTTATGAAGGGAAAAACTGAATTATCAATTCACAAGTTGATTTTTTCTACTTCCTTTATATTTCAATAGAATATTTTATTTCATCTCATAGGGTTATAAAGATGGAATTCATAAATTAGATTATTCTATCATTAGACTTTTCTATGAGCACACTTTTTAGCAAATCAATGTTAGGAAATAAAATAAGATAAAATCAAGCAGGATTAAACATTATATTGACAATTCACAACAAAACAAAGCTGACTTTTGTCTTCTCATATAGGGATTAAATTTATAGTGGTTCATTTTACAAGCTTCACAGTGGTTATAGAAATGAAAAGACTTGATAAAATATGTGAAAAGATTGATTAAATGTGATACAGTAACAGTATCATCTTTATCACCACAAAGAGCCACAAAATGATCTGTCAACTTTTAACTGATTTCAAATACACAAAAAGTAAATACATGGTACAGTGAACGGTGGGCCCATTACCCACTTGACCACGGCAGACCACACCTGCTCCTGTCCAACCTATACTCTCCTCTCCCCACTTCTTTATTACTTTGAAGCAAATCCAAAGCAAGCAAAACCGGAAATATGAAACAGTTTGGTTTTGTTATAGGATAATGTTTATAAAAGAAAAAAATACTTTAATAAAAAAAGAATAAAAATTTTCATCTTGAATTTCCAGGTATCCCAAGTAGCAGCACATCCACACCACGCCCAGCACTGCAGCCAAGAACACAACCTTGGTGCTGTACAAGGAGGAGCGCTGCTGATTAAGAAAAGGCTCCCAAGCTGCATGAACACCTGCCACATGTCCATCAACCTCTCCGTACACACAGCCACCTGAAGGGCCACTGGGAAGGAACATTTCCTCTCCAGCTCCCACCAGCTGGGATTGCCCATCTTCCATCCAGAATTCCTTTTCACCCCTGCCCCATCCGGCACTGTGGCTGTTCCCTAAGGCTGTGCCCTGTCTTCCCTACAGTGGATGCARGAGGAAGAGGGCAGAGAAGTGGGTTTCTTCAGGCAGCCCTCTCACCTCACTCAGCACCCCAGCTCTACCACATTCCCTGCCCACTCTCTAGTCTTTTTCCTTCTCCTCGTATCTCCTCTCCCACTGAGATCTGGAATCTCAGTTCCTTTGGAAAAAAATGCAGAAAAAGCTTGTGGCTATGAAAAAAGATCATGTCCTATAATTACACTCTCCTCACCAGCATCCATAGGACCTAGCAAAGGAGAAGGGCAGGAACTGGGTTCAGAAGCAGCCCCTTCGACTGTGGGCCCCTTTTGGCTAAGTGTAGAGGTTCTCACCACTCCACAAGCTCCCAGAGGTTCCAGGAAAGCTGCACCTGCACAAACCCAAACTAGACCCTGGTGCCACTGTGGCTTTTCTGTAGCAAGTGAATCTGGTATTTGACTTGCACTCTCGTCTGTCAAGAATCCTCAGCTGGGTGGGGGATACAGCTCAGTTAGAGAGGGCTTGTCAGGCATGCACAGGCCCTGTGTTCAACCCCTAGGGCCAGACAAAAAGAAAAATGTTCAGAAACACATTCCATAGTAGGCGACCATGAAAGAAATCCTCAACTGCCCCAAACACTTGGTCACTCAGGTTCTAGGACCACAGCACCCTCCCTGCAGGTTAAGTATCTTTAGGAGCTAGCCCAAGGACCTGCCCACCTCATGCACAGCCTCTGTGGAGAAGTGTGGCCCACACCCACACTCTCTCGGCATCTCCCGTCAACAGCAGGAGCTACAGACCCTGTGCACCCTGGAATCCCTTCGTCCCTTTGTACTGAAGGATCCACAACCATGGGAGCGGTACTTCACTGGCCACTCTCAGCAGGGAATGCTCTGTCCCAAATGTCTTCATTGCTCTCAGAGAAGAGAGAAGGCAAGAGAGAGGCCATGCATGAGACACTGAACTCATGTGCCAGACCCAGCAAAAGCACTGAATATTCTTCCTAAACACTAAGATTTCACATTTCACACAATCTGCAAAATGGAAAGAAGAATAACAAAACTATTTCCTTTTATGAATTATTTTTGACAAAATCACCTTGAATTTCCAGAAACTACAATATTATAATATCCAAGGCCAGTTACAAGAAACCTCAAAAAACTATGCTCACAGCTGGGCACATGGCACATGCCTGTAATCCCGGCAACTTGAGTAGCTGAGGCAGGAGGATAGTGAATTCAAAGCCAGCCTCAGCAACTTAGCGAGGCCCTGAGCAACTCAGCAAGGCCCTGTCTCTAAATAAAATACAATAAAGGGCTGGGGGTGTGGCCCAGTGGTTAAGCRCCTCTGGATTCAATTCCAGGTACCACCACTACCAACAACAACAACAACAAAAAACAACTATGCCCACACACAGCAGAAAGGGCACAGGCCCAGTACTTGGAACACAGATTTACAGGGTTTCTATGCTCATCTGGCTTCTTAAGTGGACTTTAAAACTGACTTCAGGGCTGGGACTGTGGCTCAGTGGTACAGCTTTCGCCTGGCATGAATGGGGCACTGGGTTTGATCCTCATCACCAAATAAAAATAAAGATATTATGTTCATCAACAATATATATAAATATATATATATATATATATATTTTTTTTTAACTGACATCAGGGGCTCAGTGTTAGAGCACTAGCTACCCTTGCACATGTGAGGCACTGGGTTTGATCCTCAGCACCACATAAAAATAAATAAAAATATTTTTWAAAAAACTGACATCAAAGCTCTGTTACACCACACTGCAGACCTAGATGCAGAAAATTAAGAACAGCATTTTAATCAGAACAGCATTTTAAAAAACTATGAAGGCAATTCTATGAAAAAGTTATGTTTGCCTTTTGTGATCATGGAGAAGTTCCCAGTAGACCTGAATTCAGAAAAATGTCATTGCCATACTTCAGCCACACGTTCTTCTAAAGGACAGACAACAGACAATACCTGGAAGTCCTGGCGACGGGCACCAGCTGTGGTGCACCTCCCAGACTGCCTGCCAGCACAGTGTGCAGCCCACACCCCAGCAGAGATGCTGTCAGCAGGCAGTAGCCATCTCATGACCTCTGCCTGCCTTACTCAAGCTGGACTCAGAGACAACAGACACAAGAACGAGGTCCAGACACTGGGCACTGATTACCTTTCCCCGAATGTGAGAGGAGACAAGAGGAACCAGCTATACCGTGCCCACTTCCTGACAGCCCAGGCATGGCAAGAGGGATAGCAGCCCGCGGATCATTACCTATGACAGGCTGAGTCTGMAAACCAATGACCACCGACCAAGCGCTAAGCAGTAAGATCCAAGTGACAAATTTTATACTTGTTTTGTTGATTAGCTAGCCACTAGAAGGAATTCAAATAGCATTGCTTTATTCACCTAAACGTATTCAATTCCCATATCAAAATATAGTTAGAAATATTCTTCAATATAGAAGAAAAAAAGCATTAAAATTGTATTAAATATAAAAAATATTAAGGTGAAAGGGAATCCATCACTTGAAGTTTGAAACTGTATCTATACTTGACAACARTTTATGAGAAGGCAATTTCCTATGTGGAAATATGAGATTGATCATCAAGAAATATTAATGCTTTGTGGGTCTAATTACCAGGCACAAGCAGACCCGAGCTTAGTGACAGGAAAATAACAAATGCCACTGAGATCAACTTGAAAGGAGGAGCTTTCAGTGAAAGAAAAACTGTGCATCTGTGCAAGGCGGGAAGTCTCCCAAAGTGAGGCGGAGCGGAGTGCGGCTTCCCCAGCTCCTCACCAGCATGGACATTTTCCTGGTGTCTTTTCAGGGCGTCTTTGCTCTTCAGTCTCTTCCCACAGCTGTTAGCCCTGCACACGAACCTGGCATCCCCACGGCACATCTCCTGGTGCTGCTCAGAGCTACAAGAAAACCAGCAAGGGGACAAGCAACTGTGAGCGCACAGCATGACACGTAGCCATCATCCAAGGCCTTTGCCACACATCTCACAAGAGTTTTGGGGTCATTTCATGCATTATCTAAGCAGGGGAGAAAGAAGGCTTAAATTCTTCAATTTAACTAGCGTAATACTGAGTCCCTGAGAAGCAAGGGATTGCACATGCAAAGTGACCCAAATTGTGTAACAGCCAGCTGGTAACTCAGTTGAAACCTCAGTGCTGAGCTGAAGAAGGGCAGAAAGAGCACTGGGAACTGGGCAAGGCCTTCCAGGCTGCTGCCCACTGTGCGCTCAAGACTTGCACTAGAGGAAGAGAGAGGGACTATGACCTCAGGGGTAAGAGGCCCATCATGAGGAAAGCCACGGTAGCGATTCCTGGCTCCTCTGTCCTCTTTTTCAATCTGCACTAGCACCTTGTTTCAACAGGCTGCAGCTCAGCACAGGTATCTCTGGGGGACCATGGAACACTGTCCTATAAGGCTGACTGGACTGCAGTGTTACCAGGACGTACCCAGGCCCTGGCTTGACTGTTCCTTAAGAAACTGCAACAGAATCTCTAAATGCTTAACCTCTTGGTATCATAAACATTTTGGTTTCTTAAACATTTACTAAGTTTAAGTCAAACATTTTATTCTCAAATTTTATTAGCAAAAATGGATGTATCTAATGCATAGAAATGGTCTCAATACGAAATGGCATATTTTAGAATTTTACTTTAACAAAACCAAAAAAAGGAACTTTAACCTGTGTTAACGATTTCTTACCAATGCTTACTTAAATATGAGTTTATAGGTTTCATGATCCCGTGAAAGACAAGGATCACTTATATGCTATTAACATACATTGCTAAAATAATAAAGAGTTCACAGTAAGTAGTTCAGAGTAGAGGATCATTTAACTTTATCACATTCTCACATTCTGGATCTATTTGTCTCTAGATTATCCTCCAAGACTGCTCTTGAACAAACAGTGCTTTCCAAAACCTCGGTGTTTCCTCACACTCTGAAATCTGCACTCCTTGAACTCTCAGCTGGTTCCAGAGGGGACATGAGTGGAGCTGACTGAGACTTGCTGTGCCACCTCAAGCCCTGGCTCCATCATGCATATCTGGATGTCAGCTAGTGAACCATGCAGCTCAATTAACAAGGCCAAGTCATTAAGTGGACAAAGACAATCGACACCAGCAATGCTTACTTCAACTTCACAATCCAAACATGTAAAAAATAACATGCTACACTCAGAAAAGACRTTGGTGCCTGCCACTGTGGGACCCCACCCCTCCACGAGTCAGGTCAGACACAGCAGATGCTCTGTGGTGTACGCACTGTCTTTGCAAGGCCTGCTGGACTGGGAATTTCTTCCCACAGATCTTGCACTTGAATTCCTTCTCCTCGGTGGGCCTCTGGTGTAGCATCTGGAGGTGCTCAGCAAGAATCTCCGCACTGGGGAAGCTGGAYTCACACTGTGGGCAGGCGAAGTCCTCTGTGCAGCCAAGGGGATCTGYGCCTTGACAAGGAGTGCATTAGTGAGGCCAAAGTTCAGAGCAAGAGCAGCAAGCTTGTGCACCCGCTTTGAAATCAAATTAACTAAGTATAACATGAACTCTTTTATGTCTATGAACATTAAGTGTAAACATAACAGGAAGTATTACTGGAGAGAAAYACATTCTTTCTAAAATAATTTACTTGTGTTTCACCAAATTAATTCAAATTCAAATTGAATTTTTAATTTACCCTATGATGCTAACTGTCCAGATCAGAGTCTTCAACTACAAAATCCTCCCTGAACTAGGCCACCTGTGGCTCACTTTTGGCTTCACAAGGACAAGTGCAGTGGAGGCAAACTGTGCTGAAGCACAAGGGGGTGACACTCGGGTGGAAAGACTACCACCAGGGCATAGGAGCAGAAGGGACCTGCAGGGCTCTGCCCAAGTCCCTCAGTGTGCCATGTAACTCCACCTTTCGAATACCAGACTCAGAAAATGTAAGGAAAATAAAAACGACCAATGATCCCATCCAGAAGAGACCACRGCTCCTCTGGGGCTCCAGGGCCAAGGGTCTTCGTGCATGTGTATCTCATACACAGCAGAAGAACAGCTATGCTACTGTCATACTTCACAGGAAATGGTAGAGGTTTTCCAACATCTTCTCAAGCCAGGTATGTTTTTTAACCCTAAGGTAGCAAATTCATTTAACCCAACTCTCCACTGTCAGATGTCAGGGCTTCTTGTTTCTCTTGCTGAGATTTTGCTTTTTTTTTTTTTTTTTTTTTTTTGCTTTTATAAGTGAGTCACTAAGAATTACAAAATGAAAATAGCAACAAAAAGTAATACCTGGTTCACACATTTAAAAAATCTTTTATTAATATATTTACTTTATTTATTTTTATATGGTGCTGAGGATCAAACCCAGTGCCKCACATGTACAAGGCAAGTGCTCTACTGCTGAGCTATAACCCCAGCCCCTTAAAAAAATATTTTTAAGTATCTGCTAATTCTTATTACAAAGATGACAACTAATATTTTGATAATAGCAAAAATCAGGGCATTAAAACAGAAGTAGGATAAGTTATTTTTAAATTAAAATAACATATACAATAATAAGCCCAAGGGCAAAGGAGAAAAAATAAATAAAATAATACAGCCCCAGTGGCTGCTCTGAAAAGCCATCTTTGCACTATTCTTGGGTCCAGCTCCCTGCTCACCACAACCAATGCATACTCTGGCGGCTTTACTGCCAAAGTCCCTGAACTCAGTTTCCTTTTTAACCCACTGCATCAGATCACCAGCAGGCCCCACCATGTCAGACACAGCGTGGACATTAGCTCCAAGATCACCACCAAGGACTTAAAGGAGAAGAAGAAAGTTGTGAAGGAGGCAGAAAATGGAAGAGACGCCCCAGCTAATGGGAATGCTAATGAGGAAAATTGGGAGCAGAAGGCTAACAATGATGTAGATGAAAATGAGGAAGAGGAGGAGGAGGAAGGTGATGATGAGGAAGAGGATGGAGATGAAGATCAGGAGGCTGAGGTAGCTACAGGCAAATGGGGAGCTGATAATGATGTTGATACCAAGAAGCAGAAGATATCCGGATGAGGATGACCAGACAGCAAAAACAGAAAATTAAATGAAAAATAAGAGACCACCATGACATATTCACCCTCCACTTCCTGTCTCCAAATGTAAATGTGGTCACCTTTGAGTAGAGAGGCCCAGTACCTGTCCACTGTAGGCAGTGCCACCCACAGATGACACCTGCTCTTCACCACCCAACCAAAACCACAATATAAATTTGCAACAAGGCAGGAAAAAAAGAACCAAACCTTCCAAGGCTCTGCTTATTTTCTTAAAAGTAATTTTAAAAAGAAAAATTTGTATTTTTAATCTACATTTTATATTTTTGTGCATATTGTTAGGGATCAGCCATTTTTCATGATCTCAGATGACCAAAATAGCCTTGGGAGCACTTTCTGTCCTACTTCTTTCTGACCTGTGGTGTGACCATGTTCATTTATGATCTCAAAGGAGGAAAAAAAAACGTAAAAAGAAACGAAAACAAAAAAAAAATCTTAATTCTGAGCATTCGAGTAACTTTTTTTGTGAAATTTACTTCAGCTCTACTGTAAGTAGTTGGTTTGGAAATCATGGTTCAAAAGACTAAAGATAAAATGTTTCTTTTTTCATTGTCTATGAAGTTACTGGGTTTTTTGTTTTGTTTTGTTTTTTTGCCTGTTTGATATATGTGTGAAACAATGTTGTCCAAAAATAAACTGGAATTTTATTGTAATCAAAAAAAAYTGCTGTCACTCCAAATCCAAACAGCTTAAGGCATATTTGAAARACATCATAGACCGAGCTTGTCATTACCTACCTCCTGAATAGTCACATAAAACACAGAAGCACACACTGGCACTGGGGGCAGCGCTCATGCCTCTGGCCAGCAACACAGGCACAAACAGAAACCTCCAGGAAAGCAGCTCAGGAAGCCTACCTGGCATCAAGCTAGGTCAAACCACTAGTCCTGCTGGCTTCTACATCACAGCAGAAAAAGACCTCCAAAAGTTCCAGATTTCCCAAAGTATCCCAAATTAGAGCAAAACTCARTGAGCAAAGCACACCTCACCTCTGCATTCACCTTCCCCCAAGGTATAGAAAAGAAGAAAACTTTCCAAGAGCCAGAGGCAGGTGAGAGGCAGCACCAGGGCAAGGGTGCAAAGATCCCACTGCATGTCACCCCAGCTCACAAGAGACAGGGTGAGACATAGGGACTCCCTGGCAGCCCTGGACCTTGGCCATCCCACAGGTACATCTGTCACCTCCCCCAACCCTTTTTCCTACATAAAAGATGAGCACACAGACGATGCCTTCTGAGAGAGCTTTTGACAAAAACTATTTCATCAACACCCTATTATAACAAGACTACAACTCAAACAGCTCAAACACCTTTTTCTACAACTTCTATTCTCTCAGATCACCAGAGATGTGATACCTTTCCTGCCAGCTGATGACTGGCCTTTAGAATCTTCTGCTGCTGCTTCTCTGATCACGGTCACAATCTGCTGCTCTTCCTCCTCCGCCTCCAGGTCACTGTCTAAGTAGCCAATTAGAAGCTCTGTGTCTGTCTCTATATCTTCCACTGCCAAATAGAAGATGTTCTCTCCTTCCTGAAACAAAGTTTTTTAAAAATGAAGATGACAATTAAGAAACTGTTTTAAGATATACYGAGTTCCATGTGCCCACCAAAAGATACCATTTCATTTTTTATATCCTCAGCTGATCTAGACACTGAAAATGGAAAGTRACAATGTTCATTCATCTGGCAAATAATATACAAATATATATTATGTAAATATAGTGAATTTATGTCTAAAGTGAAATAAGGAAAATGATACATATTTTTAAAGAAAATTTTGCAACATTAACTGGTCTTCTGYGGAGGTCCATAAAAGCAATTTGACAGAATAGTGCCATTTACAAACCCAGACAAATAGCAGAAATCTTACCAATGATTTCATTATGATTAACATTAAATACAAAACTGGAACAGAAAAAAAATTTTGAAGTTCCTATCCAAACCAGAGGAATGGCAAACAAATTATTTTCCTGAAAGAATATTCAAAATGCAGGACCAAAAATAGCAGGAAAAATAGATCTTTAGGGGGTTTGAGGGGACAACTGAGCTGTCATGTGCACCCCACCACATCAACCTTCCCAAACCTCAYTGAAATAAAAAAGAGTAAACAATTCCACCATCAACATACAAAAGATTACTTTAGAAAATTCAGAAGATAGCAATCAGACAGTTGACACCATTGATAACTAATACAGAGGAAACCCCAGCCAGTAACAGACACAGAAGAGCAACACTGCAGAACCTTTCTAATGAAACCCAGAGAAACATCACAATTGGAGTYGACTGGTACAAAATGTCACTCCAGGCCAGGGCCCATCACCAGGGAAGTGAGAACAGGGCTACTTAGCTGGCTATGCCAGGAGGAAGTGCCAGAATGCCTCTTTTACAGAGCTTAGCAAATGTTCCCAGTTTGGCTGCTGAGGACAAGAGAAGCAGAGCATAGCCTGAATTTATTGAGCCTTCATGGTGGGCAAAGAAAGGAAAGATCAAGAAAATAAGCTCCACTCAGGAAACTCAACGAGGCACAGGAAAACACCTGCCTGACTTCAAYGTATGAAGGAGGAGGAACAGCAGGACATAGAGCAGAAGCAGGAGGGAGAGGGGAAGGGAGCAAAGGAAGAGCACAGGAAGAGTATGTGTAACGAATGAACAGGTGCATGTGCACCTGGATCCTGAGCAGACCAAACCTGGGGCTTCAAGCTGCTCATACACCATCATTCCAAGGAAGGGAAAGGAGCTAGTCTACCTCTGATGTTGACCTAGTTTGGATTTTTTTTTTAATCTCTCTTTAACAAGGAGAGATTACTTTGTAATTTCAACAGAAAAAATTTAAAATTCCATGGAAGAGACAGAAATGATGATTATATGCATCCAAAATTATGGAAAGGAGGCTTGATTCAAAGGTTCAAAACTCTGAAAGAAATCTACCCATTAGATACAGTTAATTAAAGAGTGTTCGTGTAATATCAGGAACACCTTGGAAGTTTTTGAATTCTGTACATYCAGAAACACACAAGTTATTTCTAATTAACAAATTAAATTAACTTCTATATAATTGTTACTCATGGTGCATCAAAAATAAGCAAAAAGCATAGACTTTCGGCAAAAGGTCTCTTTAAATTAAATCAGAAGTGGACTCCCCAGGGGTTGGAGAACACTGGCTGAGGGGGTTCCTCAAAGCAGCTAAGAACTCACCCAGTAAAGACCTCAGAAGTGTTATAAATCTTAGTGCTTATCTGATCAATATCCAAGAAGTTGACTGAAACCTCTTTCTAGAGAGCACAGTGGTCGTTAATCTTGTGATGGCTTTCAAAATATGAAGATTTTAATTTTGAAACATGATAAGACTATATTTGAAAGGAAAGCAAGGAACCAGGAAACAGGAAAGCAAGAAGTGAAAGATGGAGACCAGACAGCGATACACACAGAGAGTTTATTTGTCAGAGGTGACAAATAAAGGCCATCTCTACATAGTGGAGAGAGGCAACACAGGCTTGGGTTCTGGGGCTTTTATGGGGGAGGCTCAGGAATTAGAGCTGGGTGGGTCCTACAGTGGGTGATTAAGTTTGGGGTTGGTCTGCCCTTTGGTGAGAAAGAATAYAGCAGCCAAGGTTTGAGGGCGTGGCAATACACCTTTGGGCAGGAAAACAGCAGCTGTWACTTACGATGGCTGCCCAGATGCAAAGCAAGGAAATTACAATATTTTTTAAAATATTTATATTTTAGTTGGGCACAATATCTTTATTTTATTTATTTATTGTTATGTGGTGCTGAGGATGAACCCAGGGCCTCGCACTTGCTAGGCAAGCGCTCTACCACTGAGCCACAACCCCAGCCCAAGGACCTTACAATATTAAACTGTAGTCTGAAGACAGCATGTTGATCAGGGTGCTCTGTAATGAAGCACCATTTTAATACCCCGGCCAAGCCGACAATGGGAGTGAGTGGCACCACCGCTCTGAGACCAGCCCCCTGCCCAGCTGGGTCACCACAGGAAGAGACATAGCCACAACCCACCTGTGCATTAACAGGGGTGTCCTTCCACTGGAAGGCCCTACCACTGTCCACCGGGGCCAAGGGGCCTGGTAGGAAAAAGCAAGGTATTCTTAGGCAGCCCTTGAGGGACTGGGGCCTATGGGAGGAAGTGAGGTCATTGTGGGTGTGCCCTTGAAGGCAACACTGGAACCCCAGACCTTTTCAATCTCTTTTCTTCAGGCCACCATGGAGTTAGCTGAGTTGCTCCAACCTGTACTCCCACCATAGACACAAAAGCAACAAAGCCAGACAAACACAGACTGACACCACTGAAAGCATAAGCAAATATAAACCTTTCCTCCTTATGACAGAATTGCAAGTATTTTGCCATAGTAGTTCAAAGCTAACTAACACACGTACACTGCACTCACTTTTACTCTGCCCACAGTTCCTACTACTTTCCATTATATCCTCCTCCTTCTAACCCTCTGACTCTCAGACCCCAGCAGTCTCTAATCTCTGGAGTCCTGTGGAACTATTTTTGCCATGTGTGGGCTCATCCCAGGCCCAACCAGAAAGGATCCAAACAGGGCTTATGTGTTCTGTGACTCAAATCAGCTCCCTCTTGTCACTAGCCTGGCTACAACATTGTGCTCCATATCCAATAGCCACTTTAATCCATTTGCCCCATCATCCCAGATATGGAACACCTGCAAATACTTAAAATAAAATTTTAATACCAAGAAGAATAATTATATCATAATTATTATAATATTTTTAATTAACATAATAAYATATAAGCTCTAGATGATCTCCAACCAATTTTGATGAGCCTGTGCCAATTTCTTTGAAGTGTTCACAGACATGAAAACCAGGAACCTAACAGTTCACACTCTGATCCTGACACTCATTCCTGGGTAACCCACCCATCCCTTCCATTCCTGGCTTACTCCCCTGAACAGGCCCCTGCACRGCAGAATCACTGCTGTTTGGGCCTCAGGACCAGCTGCCTCCCTGGGACTCCACCTGGGGGCCAACATCCACGTAAGGTTCTGCCTTAGGACACAGCTGATTTTAAGGTTCTGCCTCAGGACACAGCTGATTTTATGAAAACACAAAGCTCTTTGCCATTCTGCTCTGCTCTGCTCAAAAGCAACATTCCTCAGTTACTGGTTTTTACAGAATTATAATTTGAATATGCCATACAATGAGTGATTTTATGATTGTTATTCATCTTTGCATTACTGCCCATACTTTTGAATTCTTTTTCTTTTCATTTCTTTTGGTGGCACTGGGGATTGAACTCAGGGCAATTAACCACTGCCACGTCCCCAGTCCTTTTCATTTGGAGACAGGGTCTCGCTCAATCGCTGAGGATGGCTTTGAACTCACCATCTGCCTCTCTCAGCTTCCCGAGTCACTGGGATGGTAGGTGTGTGCCACTGTACCCAGCTTGAGTTTTCCATATTTGTAAGTATCCTTTCATTTTGCTCTATTTTATTTTCATTTGCACATCCTCTCTGGCTAATTATTTCTATTCTTAGTTGTTTGTAATATCAAAACTTTGCAACAGTCTACATGTCCAACGAGAAAATTAAAGGTTTGACAATTGGTTTCAAACGATTTATCAAACATCATATTTKGTTTTTGTTTATTTAACTAATTTTGTTTATTTATATGTGACAGCAGAATGCATTTCAATTCACATTACACATATTTTCATATCTCTGGATGTATACAAAGTATATTCACACCAATTTGTGTCTTCATACATGTACTTTGGATAATAATGTCCATCACATTCCACCATCATTCCTAACCCCAATGCACCCTCCCTTCCCCTCACCCCTCTGCCCTAGCTAGAGTTTGTCTATTCCTCCTATGCTCCCTCTCCCTAACTCGCTATGAATTAGCCTCCTTATATGAGAGAAAATATTCAGCATTTGGTTTTTAGGGATTGGCTAACTTCACTTAGCATTATTTTCTCTAACTCCATCCATTTACCTGCAAATGCCATAATTTTATTCTCTTTTATTGCTGAGTAATATTCTATTGTGTATATATGCCACATTTTTTATCCATTTATCTATTGAAGGGCATCTATATTGGTTCCACTGTTTAGCTATTATGAATTGTGCTGCTATAAACACTGATGTGGCTGTGTCCCTATAATATGCTATTTTTAAGTCCTTTGGGTATAGAACAAGGAGAAGGATAGCTGGATCAAATGGTGGTTCCATTCCCAATTTTCCAAGAAATCTCCACACTGTTTTCCAGATTGACTGCATCAATTTTCAGTCCCACCAGCAGTATATGAATGTACCTTTTCCCCACATCCTCGCCAACACTTACTATTGTTTGTATTCATAATGGCTGCCATTCTGACAGGAGTGAGATGAAATCTTAGAGTGGTTTTTATTTGCATTTCTCTAATTGCTAGCAATGATGAACATTTTTTCATATATTTGTAGATTGATTATATATCATCTTCTAGGAAGTGTCTGTTCCAAATGTCTTGGTCCATTTATTGACCTAGTTTTTTTTGTTGTTGTTGTT